AAGATGTGAAGAAAGCTCTGTGAAATCTCTGGGGACTGGCTAGGATTCCTGAGACATGTTTATAGTTTGGCTCTGTGGAGGATCATCCGTGGCAATTAAGATGAGACATTTTATTCTATTTAAATATGCTTAGAGAACATTTTATTACTGTAGTAGTTAATAAAAAAATTGAATCAATATTTTTTTTCCTTTTTTATGTTCATCCTATAATTAAGCTATGAATTTTATTGCGATACTTTCAAAATAATAAATAAACAGATTTACATATATACATATGTATCATTTTAATCTCTAATGGCATAAAAAGGATTTTAATATTAATAACCATCATTATATTATTAAGCACTCCATTTTCTGCACAATTTATAAATTTCTGTTTAATATTCTTGCATCATGGACTATTAATAAGAATAATAGATTTATGAATTACATCCTTAAAAGTAGTTTTTAAATGGTTAAAATTACTTAATTTTATATTGTCCTGCATCACATCATAATCATATTTCTGACATGTTTCCTGATTTGCTCTTATCAGTTTTGGAATCCATTACTTCACTGGATGGGATGCAAATTAACTTACTCTGCTATCTTGTGGTTGCAACTTGAAATAGCAAATGTTGTATTCGAGAGCTAGACTTCAAACTTAGCTATTGAGATAGAAAAAGAAAATTCAGATCACTGAGAGAGGGCAAAAAGCACCCTGAGGAAATACTTGATCTTAATCAAAATTTCAGTAGTTATCAAGTCACTTTCCCTCAGTGCTCAGGCAGACTAGAAAGAAGTCAATCACATTGAAAAACCCCTAGAGGTGGACTCAGAGCTGGATGGGTATTCGGCAGTAATAATCTAAATGATCCCTTAGTGCTGCTAAAAAATCAAAGCTCCTAATAATTTTCTTCCAGAAACTCACACTCCGATGAAGTAGGCCATATGATTTTCTAATCGAGCAACTAATTCACAGCACATCTAGCAAATTTTCTCTTCCTTTTCTCACACAAGTGAAGGTTAGAGTCAGACTTTCTAGGTGAAGCCACAGTCTAGAATTCCAGCCTTGAATATATATTTCTAATGCAACTTTCTTTATTTTAGGTTCCAGCAGTGATTCCTGTTAAGAAAAGAGAGATGGGAATAGGGTAAGTACAATTCTCAGTGTTTCCAGAGTCTGAAGTTTTTGTTTGTTTGTTGTAGGGAGAGACTTTTGCTATAGGGCTCATGTGCTCACTGGAGAAATAGAGACAGAGAGAGAGAAAGTAAGAAATCTCCCTTCCACAGGGAGGATGACTATGCCACAATTCCTTCTTCTCCACTCTCCTATTGGGATTTTGGGCACACATGCATACTTACCCGGTGTGAGTTTCAAGCTGCCAGATCCAGGACTCAAACTGTGGGCAGTCATGTGGGAGTCCAGTGACTTAACCACCATGCCACCTCTGGCCCCTCCAGAGTCTGAAGTTTTGCTGTTTTCCTCGCCCCTATTCCCAGGCACCCTAGGTCATCCTAGGGCAACTTACACGTTCAGTCTGAGAACTGTTGAACACTTGCCTCTGCTTTCATCACGGACAGTGGCAGCTCTTCATGGTACTATGACAGAGCCGTACAAAAGCTCACTTCCCATTTGGTAGAAAAAGAATCGCTTCTGTTTTTAAATTTTTTTTCATTAAAAAATATTTTATTTAACTTAATTAATTAATTAATTTAAATTTGACCAGAGGAGAACAGAGCAAGAGAGAGCAAGAGCAAGAGAGGGAAAGTGAGAAAGCAAGCTGCCAAGTCCGGGACTCGAACTGTGGTCGGCCATGTGGGAGTCCAACATCCTTAATCACGATGCCACCTGCCGGCTCTGAATTGCTTCTGTTTATTGTCTTCTTTTTCCCTCTTTACTCCCAAATCCCAAAACTATCTACCAGTAGTCTCATTTTACAGAAAATCAGATGTGTGTACCTATAATTAAGAAAAAAAAGTTCAATTACACAGTGTTAACTGCAAAGTGGGTACTGAAACCAAGTCATTCTGAGTGGAATAGAAAGTTCAGTTTCTTAGATAAACTTTGTTGGATCCGTGTTGTTTATGCCTCTTCCTTAAGTATTACACCTTTATTTACTGAATCCCTCTATGGTGTCATCAGCGAATGGACACACATCTGCTCAGTTCTACCACCACCTTTTAAAAACATCTTTTCCTTCACAAAGCCCTCTATTTCCTCTGGCAGATGCTGAAAGTATTAATGGTGGCTAGGCTTCTGCCTCTTAACGAGTAGCAGGTGTGGTGAGAATGTCTTATTATTTATCACTTCCTCACTCAGGATATCATTCTATACTTGTAAGACATTTATTCACTGCTCCATCAATGGCCTTTTCATTTCATGTGTAGTATCTCTGTCTTAAATAAATGTTACTCATTCACACCAAATCCTGAAATGCGCTACCTAAGAACTTACCTTCACCTACTCTGAGGACAGTGATGGGGGTCAGCTGAGGAACTCTACTAATGGGTCCCAGATTTGGGTATTACTTGAGGTCATGGGGTAAAGTAGTGAGGGGGCTCAGAGAAGGGAGATGACTATATTTTTTGATGCAGCTTTTGTTTCTGATTTTTACCATGTGATTAGAAACCCTTCCCATAGTCTGGCTGCTCCAGATGCATTGGAGCTGCTCCACTGTGGATTGCTCTGTTTGATGTTCTGATCTGAGATTAATGACAAAAACACCTTTTGGATGCATGACAGTTTTCATCTTAAGGCTGAATCCAAATCATGGCAGGCTCTAAGGTTTGTAAATTGGTGGACCGTGAATTCCTTGACCTTGATTGAGAATAGAGATTTTAGATACCGCAATTCATCTTCTTCGAATTCTTCTCCAATTATGCCGAGAGCGTCTTAGATTCATATTTGATTGAGTTTTAGCTCTTTTTTTTTTTGTCTGGATGGATTAAAATATGTTTGACTCCCACTGGCATAGATTTCCTGATTTAATTGTTAAAAACGTCTTGGTATAGGGTTTGAATGATGGCAACCTTACTGTGTAAAGGAAAGGTAAAAGTCTCATGGCCACCTTCTTCTTCAGCCGTAATTGGTCTGTTGTTCCTTAACGATGTCTGGATTCATTTGTTTCCTTCTTCTAGGTCACTTGTCTGTGGATAGATAAGTAGAACCATGTAGACAGGTGTAGGGCCTTGGGATTTCTCTTCTGCCTATAGGTGTCATGTATTAAAAAAAAAAGAGAGAGAAAGAAACAGAAGGATAGAAGATTAAAGAGTTAATTAACATACTGAGTTGTCAGAAAAGTCATGATGCATGTTCGCATAGGAAAACAGAGAGAAGTATGTCATGACCTTTCTGACAATCCAATATTTTAAACGGAGTTCGTTGTCATCCAACTTTATAAGAAATTGCTCCACTATAATGTGAATTCATATAATAAAATTGTAATTTAAATGTCTATATGAAGCTGTAGATATTTTTAACAATGAAAATCATTTTAAGCTGCAGGAAGTCTTATGGCATGCCCTCTGGGTTTTAAGAACCCTTGAGAACAAAGATGGGGCCTAGTCACTGTGTGTCTCGGGCTGGTCTGGGGCATTCTCTGCTGCAAGTCAGCCAAGTTTTTATAGCTCACACGGTGTTATGGGAAGGAAGTGAAAATTCAGCTGCAGTTGTGATTTCGCAAATACCTCAAGGGAGCTTTGGAATCTGTAAGAGTTGATTAGACTGATGTGGCCTGTATTATGGTCTGATCATTTTAGCTCAACTTTCTAATTAGTGTATACACAGTTAACTTACATTTAAGAAAGAAGATGTTTGTAGAATCGATTTGATATGTAAGTGGCCATAAGCCCTTCCTCTCCTAAAAGCAGGAAGATACCATTTGCCAAATATCAACAGAAGTTAGCACCGAAGTCAGGATTGCCTCTGTCACTGGCAACCCCCAGTTTCAAACCTTCCAAATTGAGCATGGCTCAGTTAGGATTAAAAAATGATGAATACTTTTTATATTATTTGAAGAAATATTTATCAATTCAGTTTAATATTCAATACCTACTATCTATCTTCTGGTTTTCCTTTCAGAAAGAATCTACAAGCCATGTTAAACTACAAAGTATCTGGCATTTATTTTTTCTAATCTGAAAGACAATCTCCTATTTTAAAAAGCTTCAGAAATTTAACACATTATACACTAATATTTATGTTCTTCATAATTAACCTTAAGAATGTGGTTGAGAGTTTATTTGGAACCAAAAGGGATAGAAAGAAACTGGTCCAATTTGTTAGAAGCAGAGTAAAAATACTTCAAAGTAAAAGCAGGGCTGACTGCATAGTACAGGAGTTATACTGAGCAGAAGAAGCCAGATCCCACATGACAGAACAGGGTTCAAATCCCAGCCCTTGATTTACAAGCCAGGTGTATGTGCACATGCCCAGCATTCTTTTTTTCTTTTATTCTTTTTTTTTTTTGGTAAGAATTATTTTATTTAACTATTTATTTATTTATTTATTTTCATTAGAGCACAGATGGAAGAAAGGGAGAGAGAGTGAGAGAGAGAGAGAGAGAGAGAGAGAGAGAGAGAAAGAGAATGAGAAAGCAAGCCGTGAGATCCGGGACTCAACTGCAGTCAGCCATGTGGGAGTCCAGTGCCTTTAACCACCACGCTACCTGCCGGCTCCCCCATGCCCAGCATTCTGACAGGATGGAGAATTGGAGGGAAAATATTGTACTATGGCAAAGTCCGATTGGAGGGTGCTTTCTCTATCTTTCTCCCTATCACACATACATGCCTTCTGGCATACTAAAAAAGAAAAAAAAATCTAAGTGAAAGAAATCTTATTCAGATTTTAGGATTTTGACTTTTTCTTCTGTGAATTAGTTGAAGGGAGTTGAAATGTCAAGGTCTAATTTAGGAGTTTTATGAGAAGAGAGAAACTTGTTCAATGACTTCCTACTCCTCCAAGGGAGCGGTAAGATAGCAAAGGTAATTTGGTGCAAGGATGCTCCTAGCTCAAAGAAGGTTGTCCTCCAATCACGTGAGAGCAGATTCTATTTCTCCTTAGTATTGACTTCGCCATGTCTGGGTAAGGTTCTCACTTTGGGATCCAAAGAAAAAGTTATGGAACTGACTAGACTTGGTAGGTCATCTTCTGGAAATTGGCTTGGTAAATGGTAGGTTTTACCTATTGGGTGAAACTTTAAGGAGAGTGGAACTAGTTTGCCCTCAGAAGCGAGGGAAGACTTACAAGAGTTGGAGCTTTGCAGAGAGGGCCTCTACAGCCGGCCTCAGCTGCGCTTTCCGCAGGCACCTTTCCCAGCCGGCACGCTTACTACTTCAAACCACCTTGTCCCATATTCATAGAAGACAGATGAGTAAGCCAGATAGGGTCGAGTAGGTTATGTCCTGTGACATATTAGCTCTAGGAAAGGAAATTTATCAACGAATGAAATTTTGAACATTTAAGAAATATTTTTTTTTCGCTATAGGGCGTGTGCACTCGCCAGACAGACAGAGACATAGAGACAGAAAGCGAGAAATCACCCCCCAGGGGGGATGGTCACGCCACAATCCCTTCTCCTCCATTCTCCTCTAGGGATCTTGGGTATGTACGCACACGTGCCCGGCGTGAGTTTTAAGCCACCTGGTCCGGGACTCGAACTGCGGTTGACTACATGGGAGTCCAGCGACATAGCCATTATGCTAACTGCTGGTTCCCAAGAAATATTTTTTGATAAAATAGAGGCCAAAAAACCCTTTTACAGTAGGAATCGAGAGACCTAGCTCTGTCGCTGATTTCTTCCTTGCTTCTCTTTTATAATGAAATATTACCGTGATGCAGTAGAAATCTCAGCGACAGATGTCAGAATGCAGGTTATACAAATGTTAAAGCATATCCCAGGCCCGCCAACGTGAGATACTTCCCGAAGCCTTTGAGAGGCGCAAACCATAGTTATTGACTCCTGGAGGAACCACTGAGAGCACACACCACTGAACAGCAGTGGAGTAGCAGCCTAGCAAAACTTAGGCTAGACAAAGTGTGTTTGTAAAAATCTGCATGCTTTCTCTGTTTGCTTTCTCTCTGCTGCCAGGCAACCAGAAACTATCTTCGCCTCCAACTTCTATTCAGCAAAAGGTTAACAAACCTTCGTTCCCATC